CACACCCTGAGAGCGTGGTTCAGGCCTCAAGGCTCAAAATGCCACTTTTCTCCCAGTGGCCTCAAACGAATTGATGTATTTATATCCTTACCAATCTGTAAGTTCTCAGGGTGTGAAGGGGCTGTTTACTTTAAAGAGCAGACACTAGTGAGAATCATAACCATGGTTGTTGTGCTCTGCGGGTTGAACGCTAAAAGCGGACAGAGCCTTCTGAGTCTGCGTTGGTGACCCAAGGGAGTTCGCAAGGAGAAGGTAGTCCCTTGCTGGGGGTGACTCTGAGGGAGCAAGGCCCACCTCCTACTGCTGATCATTTCCAAATTAATTCACTAGTCAATGCATTCAAACCAGCAAGTGGGGAGAATGGTGGCTGACCTTCACTGAGTTGAGTGCCCACTAGGCATGCCTTGCACTGAGCTAAAGTCTGTGCCCAGAAGGAGGCATTTACTCCTCATTGCAGGCTTTGAGGCAGGTGCTGGCCTCATTCTCATGGTACCCAGTAGGAGACCCGGAGCTCAGAGAGGCTGAGCTAGGCAGCACAGGGCAGAATCCCAACCCAGGCTAGCAGCCAATGTTTCCTGGGTCCCACTCTTCCCAAGGAGCCCATGTCCCTGGGTTCCCCACCCACCCCAAACCCTGACCCAAATGCTATAACCTTTGCAAGAAGCTCCCATGGCCAGGCGCAGTGGCTCATGCCTGTAATCCCAGCACTTTGTGAGGCCGAGGTGGGCGGATCACCTAAGGTGAAGAATTCCAGCCCAGCCTGGCCAATATGGTGAAACCCTGTCTCTACTAAAAATACAAAAATTTCCCAGGTGTGGTGGTGCATGCACCTGTAATTCCAGCTATTCAGAGGCTGAGACATGAGAATAGCTTGGACCCGGGGGGTGGAGGTTGCAGTGAGCCAAGATTGCACCGCGGCACTCCAGCCTGGGCGACACAGTGAGACTCTGTCTCAAAAAAAAAAAAGAAAAGAAAAGAAGCCCCCATGGACTGACTCTGTGTTCAGAGAAAAAGATCTCTGTGCAGCAGGTCTGGGTCCTCCCCAGGTGCCGCAGGACAGAGAGCATAAATGGACCCAGCTCCTCCAACCTCCTTCCTTCAGGACGTCACCTCCCTGAACAGCCTGCCAGGGAACAAGCGCTGTGCTTACTCTCTCCAGACTGAATCTTCACCCAAGATGTTAATTAACATAAAATATTTGAACGGGCCAGGCACAGTGGCTCACGCCTGTAATCCCAGCACTTTGGGAGGCCAAGGCGGGAGGATCACAAGGTCAGGAGATCGAGACCATCCTGGCTAACTCAGTGAAACCCCGTCTCTGCTGACAATACAAAAAAATTAGTTCAGCATAGTGGCCTGTAATCCCAGCTACTCGGGAGGCTGAGGCAGGAGAATCGCTTGAACCCAGGAGGTGGATGTTGCAGTGAGCCGAGATCGCACCACTGCACTCCAGCCTGGGCAACAGAGTGAGACCCTTCTCAAAAAAAACATACATATATATATATATATATATACACACACACACACACATATTTGAATGATATATAGACACTATATATTTGAATGAATATATATACATTTGTATACATATATACATCTGAATGAATATACATCTAGATACATTTGAATGGCTGTTTTAATTTTTCACTCATGCATTTAGGGATCTAGTTGATTGGTGAAGAGATGCTTTTATTTTCCCCATCAGATGTTGGGTCATATCCTCATTTCAGGAAAACTGGACTCATGACACCGAACGTTGTTACAGGACAACTTTTATACAATAAGCTGGAGGATGATGGCGAACGCACGCCAGGAGGGAGAATCCAACCACCCTATGGGGAGAGGCAGGTCTTGAACCAGGGGCTTGAGCAGGGACTCCCACCTCTACCACAGGACACACGGCCTCAGCACATCACATGCCACTGAGCCTCAGGGTCCCCAGCTGGGCTGAGAGGAGATGGCTGAGCACCGGGCAGGCAGCTGTGGTCAGAGGGACCCTCCCCCATGTTCTCATGACAAAGCTCTGGAAATGCAGGCAACTCTTAATTTTTTTTTTAATTTTTATTTTTTGAGAGGGAGTCTCACTCCGTCACCCAGACTGGAATACAGTGGTGCAATCATCTCGACCTCCCGGGCTCAGGTGATCCTCCTGCCTTAGCCACCCAAGTAGCTGGGACTACTGGTACACACCACCACACCCAGCTAATTTTTTAAGTTTTTCTATAGAGATAGAGTCTCAGTTTCACCATGTTGCCCAGGCTGGTCTCAAACTCCCAGCCTCAAGCAATCCTTCTGCTTCCACCTCCCAAAGTACTGGCATTACAGGCATGAGCCACCACATACCCAGCCTCAACACCAGATTTGAACAGTGTCCCTGCCAAAATTCATGTCCCTTTGAACCTCAGAATGTGGTCTTATTTGGAAACAGATTCTGCAGATATAATCAAGTTGCAATGAGGCCATGTGGATCACTTACCTGGGTGATCACCAATCTGGGTGATTGGTGCCTTGAAAGGAAGAAAGAGATAAAGAGAGGCATGCAGCGCTGAAGGCCATGTGAAAGGCAGAAATAGATTGGAGTCGTGCATCCCCAAACCAGGACACCCTGAGGATTCTTGGAGCCACCAGACACTGGAAAGAATCCTCCCCTAGGGCCTTCGGAGGGACCATGGCCTGGCCATCAGCTTGAACTTCTGGCCTTCTGGTGTCCAGAACTGTGAGAGGATAAATTCCTGTTGTCTTAAGCTACCCAGTTTGCGGTACTTCATTGCGGCAGCCCCAAGACGCTGAGAGTGTGACGGCCACCAGTCTCAAAAGAGTCGCACCTGCCCACTGTGCGCCCAAGGATGCAGGCATGGAGAAGGAGGGCGCTCACATTTACACCTGCGTGCCAGGCCTAGCCCAGTGCCTGTTTGTGAGCAGGTGCTCAAAACCCCACAGCAAGACCCCAGACAGACAGGGGCTCAGCCACAGTCCAAGGCTTTGGCCACAGTCACCCGCTGATATGGGTGATTTTTCTGCAGACCACACCTGTCCCCTTTCCAGGGTCATCCTGCAAAGTGGGAACCAGAAGGCGGCCTGCCACCTGCCCTGTGACATTTATGGCTCTGGCCTGTTCACCTCCATGGGCACCTACGTCAACGGTCTCCCCTCTGTACCTCCAGTCCTCTCCTGAAGGCAGCCTCACTTCAAGGCATCCAGGCCCCTGCAGACGCTATGCTGCCCAGAAAGCAGAGTGGGTCACCTCTCTGCCTGGTCTGGCCCTGCCTGGGCAGGGGTGGCTTTGTGCAGAGTTCGCTGGCTCAGAAAACAGGAGCCCCAAATCAAGGTGGAGGGGCCGTTGAGGCAGAGCCTTTTTGCTGAGGAGCAATGATGGTAGCTATGCCACGTGGATGGGCTCCTGCAAGCCCACTCCTCTCATCACAGAGTTCTGTGGAGAGACTGAGGAGGGGAAGGTAAGGGATTGCCCGAGGCATGCAGCCAGCATGGGAACCGGGCAGCCCCGGGGCCCCAGGCCGGAGCAGCTGCAGAGACTTGGTAGCTTTCTAACAGCTTCCAATCCACCTTACAGCTGCTGCTCTCCCATCTGGGGAGGAAGAACGTTAATTAAAGTGAGATTTAGCAAAGCAGGTAAAGTCTAAACAAACAGGATGTACAAGTGCAGGAGAGGTGATCAGATGGTCTCCTGACATCTATTTATTTATCAAACACCTGTCACCTGGCAGCAGGCACTGTGCTAGGCACTGGGAAGAAGCTCAGCCCACTGCCCACTCAAGGATGCAGGCACAGACATGGAGGGCACTTGATGCATTTACACCTTCATGCCAGGCCTAGCACAGTGCCTGTTTTTGAGCAGATGCTCAAAAACCTCTGATGAATGAATGAATGAGCAAATGAATCTACTGAAGAAACAACATGAGCATCTAAATGCAACCAGGACAGGAAGAGGATTTGAACTATAGAGTAGAGAGCAGTCAATTCAATCTGCAAGCAATCCAGGAAGGCTGCCTGAAGGAGTCAGCACCTGGTCCAAGCTTGAAAGATTGAGTGGAACTTTGAGAACTGGAGAAGGAGGCCACAAATCAAAAAATACAAACTTTTTTTCAGAAGTTGGGGCAGTATTCCTAAAGAGCCTGTACAAGGTCGAAGCTAATCAGATTCTAGAACAGTGAGGCATTTTTATAAGTGACAGTGGCTGGGTGCAGTCACTCATTTTGGGAGGCTGGCAGGAGGATTGCTTGAGGCCAGGAGTTCAAGACCAGCATGGGCAACAAAGCAAGACCCCAAACTCTACACAAAATAAAAATAAAATAGCCGGGCATGGTGGTGTGAGCCTGCAGTCCCAGCCGCTCAGGAGGCTGAGGCAGGAGGATCACTTGAGCCCAGGAGTTCAAGGCTGCAGTGAGGTATGATTGCGCCACTGCACTCCAGCCTGGATAGCAGAGCAGGACCCTGTCTCTAAAAATAAAAACCAAAAATAAATGGCCACAGTGGGATCTCTGGAGGAAGTCAAGGAGGCCCAGAGTCTGGCCACGACCTCCAAGGAGAAGTTCCGGTTGCTACTCGTTTGTGGATTGCTATTGTTACAACCTGGGATTGGTTACTCCTTGGTGGGAGTAGGGGCGGAGCTCAGAGTAACCCCTGGAGAAGGGTTCATTGCGGGCTGAGGAGCAGGTCCTGCCCCAGCACTGAAGGACTCCAGAGTCTGTGATCCTAAGAAGGGACACAGGGTTGGGGACAGAGTGGCAAGAACTAATGTTCCTGAGTCCCATTCTCTCTAGAGTGTGCACAGGGAACAGAAAGAGGGACTCAACCAGGAGACAACTAGAATCTTGGAGAGTAAGTGGGCTCAGGGGGCCAAGCCCCGCTGCTTACCTTTTTTCCATTTTATTTTTTTGAGGTGGGACCTTGCTCTGTCACCCAGGCTGCGGTGCAGTGGTGTTGGAAATAGATGCTCGGGGCCGCAAAGAAAAATCAGCACCAAGACAGAGGATCCTTCAGCAATGCAATTTTTACTTCCTGGACTGCAGGAAGGGTACCCTCGCTAGCCTTTCTGTCATGAGAGTACAATCAACCAGACACATTTATCCCTTACACATTTGGGGTCGTCCTCACTGCGATGTCTGATCTCTGTTGGCTGGAGCCAGACCTCACAATCTAAACTAAAACCTGATTGGCTAACAACTTAAAACTTTTCTAAACAGGTAAAAGCCATGGAGAGATGGGACATGCCTGTGAGCACGTCCAGCACAGATACGTCTTAACAAAGTGAACAAGAAAGGAAACTTTAAAAACGAACTTTTCTACTTTCCACAAGTGGCATGATCATGGCTTACCACAGCCTCAAACTCCTGGGCTCAAGCAATTCTGACATCAGCCTCCCGAGTAACTGGGACTACAGGCACACACCACCATGTGTAGCTAATTTTTTTTTTGTAGAGACGGGGCGGGTGTGGGTCTTGCCATGTTGCCAAGGCTGGTCTTGAACTCCTGGGCTCAAGTAAATCTCCTGCCTCGGCTCTCCAAGGTGCTGGGATTACAGGTGTGAGTCACCACACCTGGCCTGCTTCTCTATCTTTTAGCGGCCCCAGCCCCTGCATTTTCTCCTCTCAAGACCACATGTGGAGAGTCGGGATTGACTATGTAAGGGAGGTGTGTGCCCTTGGTCTCACCCCAGTCCAGTGGGATAGTCCCACCTTCATCAATGTTAAAACACATGCTCTGAATGAAGAGACCCCTAAACAGGCTTTGTATGAGCAACATGGCTGTTTATTCACCTGGGTTCAGGTGGGCTGAGTCTGAAAAGAGTCAGCGGAGGGCAGTGGGATAGGAATTGGTTTTATAGGTTTGGGGTAGGCAGTGGAAAGTTATAAAAGTTACATTTCAGAGCGGTTTTTGCAAGCTGGGAGGGGGTCACGGGGTCTGGAGTCACGAGGTTGCCCAAAGTCACTAACAAAGTCCAATTTCCTTATCAGTTGAGGTGGGAGTAAGGAACAAAAGAAGAATGTCTCAGAGTTAATTAGTCACCCCAGAGGTTGATCATTTCCTCTCCTTTTGTGGTTTTCCGGTAACTTCAGACATTCTAGTTCCAGGGACTCATCTGGAGTGTACGTGCAGGTCACAGAGGTTCCCAAGCCGTCCGTGGTGTGGTCAGTCAGCCTAAAAGAACTTACAATCAGGTTGCAGTCAGAGGAACATATAAATCATGCTGGGAATTTCTGAGTTTCGTGGGAGTTTCAGCATGAAAAATCATGGTGTTGCCAGACAGGCTTGCAGCCAAAATACAAATGGGATCCCTCAATCCACACAGGAGCAAGGGTTTTCACTCGTGGGAACTCGGGATCAATCCCCTACCCAGGACTCAGCTTGCAAGCGAGCACACTTAAAGAGTCTCTCTCAGGCCAGGTGCTGTGGCTCATGCCTGTAATCCCAGCAATTTGGGAGGCTGAGGCGGGCAGATCACCTGAGGTCAGGAGTTCAAGATCAGCCTGGCCAACATGGTGAAACCTCATCTCTGCTAAAAATACAAAAATTAGCCAGGTGTGGTGGTGTGCACCTGTAATCCCAACTACTCAGGAGGCTGAGGCAGGAGAATCGCTCGAACCTAGGAGGCAGAGGTTGCAGTGAGCCAAGATCGTGCCACTGCACTACAGCCTGGGCAACAGAGCGAGACTCCATCTAAAAACAAAATTAAAAAAAGTGTCTCTCAGTAGCCCGAACTCAACTTTCCAGGATAATTTCAGAGAGGGGTCTGCTTTTTCTCAGATCTTCAGCACCATGGAAAAATTTGACCCACCAGAAAAGCACACCTAAAGACACCTATCATCTATTAGCATCTTATTAAGGGATTTTTTTTCAGGTAAAAAAAATGACTCTCATACAAATACAAAGTGAACACGTGTCAAAGATCTTCTTTAACTCACTAATTAATGAGGGAACCAGTAAGATGTTACAAATGGTTTAAAGAAGGATTGAAAGCATCACAATAAAGAATGCTAAAGTGAATTTGCAAATAGATGCGAAGCTGATATATCCATGGTGTGATAATAAATTGCCCTCCAGTAGACACGCTTCATTTGCATTTTGATGGACGAGAATCACTTACATCCTATCAGTTATCTACAATGTATGGAGTGGCACAAGAGCTCAAACACAACAAAAGGCAGAGATAACTCAACTTGACAGGGCGCTACATAATCTTTTTCTCTCTTTCCTTCTTTAAAAAAAAAATCTGGGGGGCCAGGCACGGTGGCTCGCACCTATAACCCCAGCACTTTGGGAGGCCGAGGTAGGAGGATCACCAGGTCAGGAGATCAAGACCATCCTGGCCAACATGGTGAAACCACGTCTCTACTAAAAATACAAAAATCAGCTGGGTGCCTGTAATCCCAGCTACTCGGGAGGCTGAGGCAGGAGAATCACTTGAACCCAGAAGGTGGAGGTTGCAGTGAGCCGAGATCGCACCCTTACTCCAGCCTGAGAATCCATCTCAAAACAAGCAAAACAAAGCAAAACACCTGTAGTACCTCCCCATCTGCTTCAGAGTAAAACCCAAAACCCTTTAATGACTTCGCTTATCCCTACCTCTGTGCCTGAAACACACCAGGCTCACTCCTGCCCCAGGGCGTTGGCACCGACTGTTCTCTCTTACTGGACACTCTTCCCCCAGATCTCCACTTGACTATTCCTCTTGTGTAATCCAGGTCTTTGTTTAAAAGTCACCTTCAGGCCAGGTGTGATGGCTCACACTGGTGTAATCCTAGCATTTGGGGAGGTCACGGTGGCAGGATGCTGTGAGGCCGGGAGTTCCAGAACAGCCTGGACAACATAGTGAGACCCTATCTTTACAAAAAAGAAAGAATAAAATTAGCTGAGTATGGTCGTGGGTACTGCCTGTGGTTCCATCTACTTGGGAGGCTGAGCCCAGGAGGTTGAGACTGCAGTGAGCTATGGTCATTGGCTGCCCTCCAGCTAAGAGTGAGACCCTTTCTCTAAAATAAATAAATAAATAAATAAATAATTTGACAAATAGTAATCAATTAAAAATAAGTCACCTTCTCACTGAGCCCCACCTTCCAGCAGCCTTTCTCTCACCCCTTGATGCTTCCTTTTCCCGTGATGCTTGGTACCCTCTAGCATGCTGCAGACAGAATCTCCCTTTTTTTTTTTTTTAAAGAGACAGAGTCTTGTACTGTCACCCATGCTGGAGTGCAGTGGTGTGATCACGGCTCACTGCGACCTCTGCTCCCACTCCCATATTCAAGCCTTTCTCCTGCCTCAGCCTCCCGAGGAGCTGGGATTACAGGTGCGCACCACTACACCCAGCTAAGTTTTTATAGTTTTAGTAGAGACGGGGTTTCACTTTTTGGCCACGCTGGTCTCAAACTCCTGACCTCGTGATCCACCCACCTTGGCCTCCCAAAGTGCTGGGATTACAGGCATGAGCCAGCGCACCCGGCAGCTGCAGAATCTTTTTAAGTGCTATGCTTTCTGTTGACTGGTTCTCTCCCATTGGCGTATGAGCCCAGGAAGGAGGGTTGGCTGACTCTACACAGTTGTGTCCCAAATACCTTCTGTACCAGGCACCAAGCTCCCTCCACAGGTACACACAGTTTTCTTCCTGACACCAGAAAACATCTTTTGTTTCCTTGCAGGGCACGCTCTGGCAGCCACTGAGGCCACAGCCTCCAACAAAGCCACAGTACTATAAGCGCCAGGAGTTGTGGACTGGAGACGTGGCCAGGCAGGCAGAGGAAGGGTTTGCCGCTGATGGTCGGGTCAGGGAGAGGGACCCTGCCCACCCCACACCTCACTCCTACCCTCAACTGAGCTGACATTTTTTTTTCTTTTTTTGAGATGAGTCTCACTCTGCCACCCAGGCTGGAGTGCAGTGGCACTATCATAGCTCACTGCAGCCTTGACCTCCTGGGCTCAAGTGATCCTCCCACCTCAGCCTCCCGAGTAGCTGGGACTGCAGGTGCATGCCACCATGCCAGGCTATTTTTTTATATATGCTTCTAGAGATGCAGCCTCGTTATGTTGCCCAGGCTAGTCTCAAACTTCTGGCCTCGAGTGATCCGCCTGCTTTGGCCTCCCACAGCACTGGGATTACAGGCATGAGGCACTGCACCTGGCTAGACAGTCATTTTCTGATGGAGTGAAGAAAAGGGGAAAAAGAGTATAGCATCCACATTAAAACAGACTGAGTGCTCATATGTTGCTTAATCCATTTAAACTCAAGTGATAACCACAGAAGAGTGTATTGTGCTTGCTTTACACTGAAAGCAGGAATTTTGGACTCGGGGGGAAGATACTGGGAGCAGAGAGAACAAATGCAGCTTGATCATAAAGTGTGTGCCCAGCATTTTGCCTTCTCTTATTACATTTGCACCACAACCTTATGCCATGATCCATCTTCCAGGTGGGGGCCCCGGGGCTCTGGCTGGCAAAGTGAAGGACCTAAAGCCACTCAGCCAATAGGGTAAGAAGCTAGGAATTCCAACCCAGGACTCACTGCCCACATGCCTGGAGTCTCTTTCCCAAGAGGCAGACAGGCCCAGAGAGCAGCATCTTTGTCCTCTCCTTGTCCCTGTCCTCACAGGCTCAATAGCAGAGTTCCCCCAGATCCAAGGGCACCAACTTTCACAGAAGCAAACGTTTTATGAGGAAAGACAGCGTCCTGTCTCCATGGGAAACTTTAATCTCAGAGCAGCACGCCCTTGTCTGAGACAACGTCCGGGTGGCTTGCAACCCAATAAGGCTCTGACGACATCAGCTGCTCAGGGCTGCAGCCCTGGGGTGAGATTTGGGACCAGGCTGCCTGGCTGCTGTGGCGCCAGAATCCCAGCCAGAATAAGGAAAAGACGAGAAAGAAAGAACAGATAGTCCCACCCAGAGAATCGTGGTGGAAAGACCATGCCAGAGGGGCTAATTCACCTCAGGGATGCTGTATCTCTCGGTGACAAGAGAAAGGACTTCCAGGGTCATGCCCGATGTGGGAAGTAGAAAAGTTCCTTTTTAAAGTTTCCTTTCTTGTTAAAGAATAAGTGTGCTAGTAACTCTTTGTTAAGCCCTATCCTATGTAGCTGTGAGACATGCCATGCTTACAGGCACGTAGTACACTCTATGTCCTTGTACTTTAACCAAGGTATCTGTGCTGGTTGCGCTCACAGGCATGTCCCAGCTCTCCATTGCTTTTACCTGTTTAGAAAAGTTTTAAGTTGCTAGGCAATTGGGTTTTAGTTTGGATTGTGAGGTCTGGCTCCAGCCAGCGGAGATCAGACACGGCAGTAAGGACGACCCCAAATGCGTAAGGGATAAATTTTTGTGTTTTCCTTTGTTCATTGTACCCTCCTGGCACGATGGCTAGCTAGGGTACCCTTCCTGCAGTCCAGGAAGCAAAAATTGCCTTGCTGAAAGATCCTTTGTCTCAGTGCTAATTTTTCTTTGCAGCACCGAGCATCTATTTCCAACATCTGATTTTAAAACCTGGGTGATAATGTTTGCCCCATGAGATGCCCAAAATGTGTACCTGGCAAAATAGGCCTTGGATGCACATAGACAAGGGTCTGCCCTGTGTGACCTTTACTCTCACCTCTGCTCAAGTCAACCACAGACATGGTACATCTCCAGCCACATGCCAACCCTGAGTGAAGGACTGGAGGGTATTTGGAGGAAAATCTGCAAGTCTCATTTCTAGCTATCATGGCACTTGGTGGTGAGGCCAGAGAGCTGTGGTGGGGCACAGGGAGTGGTGGGGCATGGGGGAACATGACCTTGACCTCTCCCAAATCGCTCCCAACCCCTTGGGCCAGGCTCATGCCTTTGGTACCTGATGCTACTCTCTGCTGGCTACTAGAGGTAAATGCTCCCCCAGAACAATGCAAGGTGTGTATGAAACCCCTGGTTTCCTGCTGCCCACTGATGCAGGCTCACTACTTCACAAGACCTCACCAAGTGAGACAGGAAAGGCCGAGAAGAAGTAGTTCAGGAACTGTAAACAGCCCCATGTCAAAGTCTCACACTGACCACAGCCAGCCCTGAAAGGCCTCTTCCACCTTGCAGTTCAGCCTGACTCCAGCCAGGAGGGCCCCCATCTTGTTCCCAGTCTCAGAGCTGTAAACCAAAAATAAAATCCTACTCCCAACCAAACAATGATGGACTCCCTGTGGGCCAAGAAGACCCCAGAGAAACCTGAAAAACTGGATTTTCAGCCATGATAAGAAGGGAGGCTGGACATATCTGTTATACCCACTCCCTCTTGGGATTTAGGCACAATGGCCAGTATTAACATCAAAATAGAAATTGTAAGACTGACAGCACAGACTCTTTGTGGCAGTAAGATCTCAAATTCCGACCTGACTCTGATATAGCATCACATGACAGCAGACCCTGAAGAGCATCAAAATATTTTACCCCAAAATATATTTCTTTAACGTATTTTGAAATGGCCCTGCAAAGCCATCTTTGGTGGGGAAATTTGTGTCTGTAGAGAATCTCCATTAAGGAAGCCAGGCCTTTTTCAGATCTAGGAGAGATCAATTCAGAGTCTGACACCTTTTAAGGTCAGAAAAAGGACATTTACCACCTCTTTTCTCTGAGGGCTGCTACCTCTGAGGCTTCATCTAGGTAACAAGATGCTTAGTGTCCACAACCCCTGTGTATCAGTTCATTCTCACATTACTATAAAGAAATACCTGCTGGGCATGGTGGCTCATGCCTGTAATCTCAGCAGTTTGGAAGGCTGAGGTGGACAGATCACCTGAGGCCGGGAGTTCATGACCAGCCTGGCCAACATGGTGAAACCTCATCTTTATTAAAGATACAAAAAATTAGTCGGGTGTGGATTACAGGTGTAATAGCTGGGCATGGTGGCATGTGCCTGTAATCCCAGCTATTCGGGAGGCTGAGGCAGAAGAATCACTTGAACCTGGGAGGCAGAGGTTGCAATGAGCCAAGATTGTGCCACTGCACTCCAGCCTGGGTGACAGAGTGAGACTTGGTCCCCCCTAAAAAAGAAAAGAAATATCTGAGACTGGGTAATTTATAAGGAAAAGAGGCTTGATTGGCTCACACTTCTGCCGGCTGTACAGGAAGGATGGTCCCAACATCCACCTGGTTTCTGGGGAGGCCTCAGGAAACTTTCAATCATGGCAGAAGGGGAAGGGGAAGCAGGCACGTCTTACATGGCCAGAGCAGGAGCAAGAGAGAGAGGAGGGAGGTGCCACACACTTTGAAACTATCAGATCTTGTGCACACTCACTCTACAAAACCAAGGGGGGATAGTGCTAAACCATTCATGAGAACTCCACCCTCATGATCCAGTCCCATCTCAGCAGGCCCCACCTCCAGCATGGGAATTACAGTTCAACAACCAGTCCCATCTCAGCAGGCCCCACCTCCAGCATGGGAATTACAGTTCAACAACCAGTCCCATCTCAGCAGGCCCCACCTCCAGCATGGGAATTACAGTTCAACAACCAGTCCCATCTCAGCAGGCCCCACCTCCAGCATGGGAATTACAGTTCAACAACCAGTCCCATCTCAGCAGGCCCCACCTCCAGCATGGGAATTACAGTTCAACAACCAGTCCCATCTCAGCAGGCCCCACCTCCAGCATGGGAATTACAGTTCAACAACCAGTCCCATCTCAGCAGGCCCCACCTCCAGCATGGGAATTACAGTTCAACCTGGCACTCGGGTGGGGACACAAATCCAAACCATATCATCCCATTATCTTAACTCAAGCATTTATTTCTACTGACTTCAAGCCTTTAGCCAAAGCTTAACTCTTTCGGCCAATTGCCAATCAGAAAATCTCTGAATCCACCTATCACCTTAAG